GCTGTTTGGTGCTCGGCAGGTAGCGTACACTGGTAGAGCTTTTTTGCTGTAAACAGCTGCGTTACTGCTTGTGGAAACAAGTCTCACTTGAGCAGTGAGACTGTAGGCTACCATAACAGTAAAATTGTGGGCTGTAAAACCAAAACGATAGGCTGAAAGATATTAAAAAGAAAAGCAGAACTGCAGAGTTAATTGGTGATTCTGTGTGGGTTTGACTCATTGTTGATACAAAACTATTATATTAGTGCAGCTGTAAGCGTTAAAGTTACAATCTCTGCTAGTGTAATTTCTCAGACTCTAAAATGTTATCCAATCCTTAGTCATGCTCTGGTCCATCACTTTAAATGGTGGGTTCTATAACACACTTGCACAAATGGGTCACACCCACTTCATTACATTAAGAGCTTCCGGAAAAGATATGCACCTGTCCTGGTGACCTTTGACCCTAGGCAGCCCCCTATTGCCCTCTGAAAGACCTACTGCTCTGGTTACATGCAGACATTGACATACACATGTACACACACACACACACACACACACACACACACGACAGCTGGCCCAACAGAGGCAGCTTTTTTTCAAGTCATTAATGAGATGGAGACTAAACGAGAGGGGGGAGGGTTTGTCTACCAATCAGCCACACATGGGTCAAGCACAAATTGACACATGCTCATAAATCTTGTCAAAGAATGAGCTAATTTAGAAAAGAGAGTCTCACATTGCTCCTGACATGTAGACTGTACCTTGTCTTGTTCGTCTGTTTTTCTGAATTGGCCTGCAGAGATGTGGTGGGATACTATTTGTGGTAATATTGACACCGCTCACCAGTACCTCATTTAATTTCACACCATTTGACTCACTGGCACATTTGTGCTTGTGACTGAGGACATAGACAGGACTTGATGAAATTTTAATGTCATCACTTTAGTGTCAGATTCCTCATATCAGTTTGTCTAAACTCCAACCAAGTATGTCTGTAACTCTAAAGTCAGTGAACCTGTGAAGATCGGTGCCACCTGCGCCTTCAGTCACATTTCAACATGCTGAACATGCAGGTATCAGAGCTACTCATCTCAGCTCTAACAAATGTGAAACCATGTTTGTAGATTCACTTAAGGTTGTGGCTAATTTCCAGCTCAGTATCACATAGTGCTCCCTGTCTTTAAAGCCAGTTCATGTTATTGCCTACCTTCAGCCACCTTTTTACGTACATTCTGTTGTCCACTTAATTAGCAGAATGACCTCACTTAAAGCACTTTTACTTCATCCTGAGTGAGCCACCGCCGCCAGCTGGAACTATCACAGTGGAGTTTGTGGTACTAGACGTTGTCAAGTGGTCAAACACAAGCCTCATTGCAACATATGGGCATTCCTTCAGTCTAACCAGCAAGCACTGGTTGCTGGTTATATCACTGTGAGGACTAAAGATGGGATTATCTTATATTTTGACATTATGTCGCCAACATCCTAGCTAGTCTAACGATAACCAAGGGAGTAGAAGACAGTGAGTTAAGAAAACCTGCAGTCCCAAAAGGGGATATTTAAATCATGTGCCATTTATTATTAAACATGGTAAAAATAGCATACTTCTGTACTTTAGAAGCACAGTAAGTACAAGAAAGGGTAAGAGAAATTAAGATGTAACTTTCTTTGGCAAGTGTTTCAATGCACTTACTAAAGAAAGGTCCAGCAATTTAGTATTGCACTTCCATAAATTTGGGGACATACATTAAATTAAAAAAAAATAAATGTCTAAATTGAACCATCAGAGGCTGAAATATGCTGACTTTTAGTTTCTAGTACTGGTCAAGCCCCCAAAACACCCTCCTCACCCATCTTACATTTCCCTTAATGCAACTCCTAGTGACATTTTAGACCTTCCCCACTTTGTAAATGCTGGTGAACGTGGCAGACTGGTAGCTCCCTCCAAAGCCACTGAAGACATTACTCATCTGTTTTCACAGGCTGAGTACCACCTACTTGTAGTAGTAGTAGCTGTAGTAGATGTGTAAAATTGTTGGAGTGGCCCTTAAATTCAATCATCACAGTAGCGCAACAGTACATTTCCAGCTAACAACAGAGTTGACAGCAACATGCACTGTAATTATGAAGAACACTGGGTTTTTGTATCTTTCATAGTTTTACAGATCACACAGTTGGACCAAAAATCAGCCCCAGATGTTTTAGTAGGTTGGTCTAAACTGCGTTTACAGACTGTCCTTCATCTCAGCACGAATAAGCAAGTGAATTGAGTGAGTGAACACACCTGGCAAAAAAACAAAAGAATTTAAGAGGAAAAACGGGGGCTTCAGCTATTGCCTGTCAGAAAAACGGTCTGCTTCTTAAGTGGGTGATATTAATGACTCCATGAGACAAGTGTGAGAGAAAAGAGGCTTGTAATGCCAGCAGGTCTCACACTTGGCTGAGTTTCACATGGCCCCTCTCGGTTCCAGCCCTGCAGTCTCGTCTGTAGCCGGCTCACCAGCCATTTTGGAGGCTTCCTTCCTTTCCTCCAAACCCCCTCTACAATTTCCCTGAGGAGAAGGAGAGGGAGAGTGAGAAGGGGGGGGCAGAATTTGGAGCTGAGCTTGGGAGGGGATAATGATGCTATCTCATTTTTCCATGTCCTGCTCCAAGTTTCCATCCTCTCATCATATGTTTTTGTAGTTTTTTTTGCACTTTTCTTTAAATACAATTTTTGTAGTCTGCTTCTATTCTTACAGAAAAATACAGTAAACTCTTTCATCACGTATGAGGAGGTCACACATCCTGGTGTTATGCATGGAATGAATGCCCTTTTACTGATAAGGGGAAGATGGTTAATTGTGGAAGTGGCTATTAAGAACACTGTTTAGCCTTTCAGTTTTTACCCAAGAGACTGAAATAAACCAAGATCAGAGAGATTTCAAAATCCTGGCTCAAATAAAGTAGCATTAGCCAGTGAATTTGATTATATTACAAGCTGACCTGATGTAGAAACATCCAAGCTGCTGCAGACAAGTCAAGGGACTAATCCCTTTTAACCACAACTAGTGTAGTTAGGCACTTTCCCTGGATCGTGTTTTATTGTTGCTGTCCTCTCCTCATTAGGGAAGAAGCTCTGCAAACACAGGATTAGTGTCAGCTAGTTCGTGACCAGAGCTGTCCATGCTTAACTTGGATCAGAAACTTGGGATGTGTGTTCTCTAACACTAAATGCCTCATACTAACAGTAGATTTAATGAGAATATGCTGTAGTACTTTTAGAAAATGTGTTGGAAAAAAAAAATTATTCAAAGTGAGCACTTGTTGAAACAGTGGACAAATAATGAACCTCCTTTCATGAAGCATAATTACATACCCACACACACTCACTGTTCTTGTATTAGACACCTGTTGTACTGGTCCACCCTTCTTGCTTTAGGCCAGCTGGGCCTATTTGAAAAAGTCATGTGCATAACAACCCTAATACACACCTGCTCGCTATGGTCAGTGGACCTTATCTTGACCCGGGAGTTGGCCCTGTATACAGTAGTCTGCATCTATGACTCTTTGTTGTATTAATATACGTGCATGTGTTTGTATAGGGGATAGTAAGAGCCCATCCTATATCTGCCCTCAGCTGTCTCTCAGAAGGCTAAATATATGTGGCTGCTATGCTATGCATTTCCAGCGTGAGCCAACCCTGCTCACATTACACTGTATTTTTTTAAATACGATAACATAGACGGGGTTCGTATGTCAAAGGCCCCTCAGCAACGTGGAAGGTGACGAAGTTAATTCACACTGTGGGGGAGAATGGGTAATTTGCTTTATGGATTATGTCATGTATTTTTTATTGGCTGTTGTAAAAGAGCTGGGGGGGTGGGATGGTTAGGTGTACTTACAGTGTATTGTTTTCAGAGGGTTCAGAACATGTTGTGTTGTTGAGCAGCAGGAGGTTGAGTATTGTGGTTACAAAAGGGATTTGTAGACATTGCTTTTGCTCTCATGTCTGTATAGTAAGTTCAAACACCGAAAGCAGCTAACCTAAACCAAAATGTAAAAGCAAGTCGTTTTGACGCCCTCTTTAAAACCACAATGTGATGTTTTTATACTTTTTTTATACGTTGTCTGTTGTGAATATAGAGAATGTGGAGAACCTGGACTGACATTGGATTCCCAGCCTGAATTCTTATCGTAGTCCAGCCCTGCGTGTGAATCAGTCTCACCTGCCAAGTAAAGAGATTCATTGGTGTTTTGACAGTGAGGGGGTATAGTGGGTATGGTCTCACATAGACACCATGTACACTCATGCACGCCCGCACATAGCCTGAACTGAACTCAATGTCCGGGTTTTCATATATGGAACAGGTGTCCTTAAAAACCTCATGGCTAAGTTACAGCACATAACATTGATTTATAACAGTTTAGACATGCTGGTGATTGTTTTTTAGATGTTTTTAGACACACATACATTCGCACAGGGGTCATATTACTAGTAGTTGTTGATGCTGAGCTTTTTGAGATGCAACATTAAAATATATTTTTACTTGAGTAAAGAAATCTTGGATATGTTATGATCTTGTGTATGAGTATTTTAAAGTTATGTAAAACTTTAAACTCTAATAAATTATGTTTGTCTCTCTCGTGCTCGTTTCTGTCTCTTTCTCTTTCCCTTTATGTCCTCTTTCTCATCAGAAGAATACATTAACCACCATCTCACCCCCGAGGATGTGTCACTCTCATGCTGACAAACTATGAATAGCTCTCGCCTTAATGCACAGTTCATGTGGAGTAGAGTAATGTATTCACTTGACTGTTAAACATTATTATTTCATGCTTCCCCTCCCTTAATCTATACAGTTTTTTTAGCATATTGTGATAGTAAGCAGTAATACTCCGCTGAGGCCATGTGATCTCGTGGGCTGTACTCTCAATGAGATTAGAGAAGCTCAACGAATATATTTTGTCCAAGCCAATTGGAAGATTTGCATTACATGGGGATTGGTTGGCTAATTGATTGTTCTTTGTGTTCTTAGAATAAAGGAATGGGTGGACCAGATGCAAAAAGAGTTGATCACATTAACAGACACAGCCACTGGTATGAAGAACCTTATACAGGTAAGCATGACTTTCACACACACAAACACACACAAACACACACACACACACACACACACACACACACACGCACAATCACAGAAAAATAAAAATATTATCGGGAGTTGTCAGAAACACACAAATGGTACTAAACGTTGGCCTTTAAGCTGGTCAGCTGCCCTTATGCCTATTTTTAGTGCCCTCTTATATTACACAAGTTAATATCTACCAGTATCACCACCAGTAATCACCAGTATCAACATTGTCAAAAGACTGGAGAACACTGTTGTAGGTGGTGCTACTACACAAGAACAAAAGTAAATAAACAAACACATATTTATATACTGATTTCCTAGCTAATTAAATTTTAACTTAATTTTAACTTTAACTTTAAATAAAACCAATTACACAGATTTAGTACTGCCAACAATTATCGTGTGTACTTTCTGCCACTTACTTTTCTTACTCTCATTAACCCTCCTTGCACATCGTCAGCTGTCATAACACATCACCAGTCTATATATAGTATCTGCTCATTAGACCCAACGCTGCATCATTTCATTCTGCCAGCCCAATATACACGCTCAGAAAAGATCAGTGTCACGACTATACCGTGATGGCCACGGTCTTTGCACACACACTCACACACCTACACACGCACAAGCCCACATCTGATAAAAGAGGAGAAGCTTTTTAGATGCACATTGATTGACATAATGCATCTGGCACTCTTGCTCCCCACTCCCTTTGAGAATGAAATCAGTCGGGGCTTTAAAGCATCACTGAGATCATTACAAAACATGTTTTTATTTGATGTGGTGACACGATATGCGAGCAGAAATGAGAATTAAATGTGTCAATATTTTGTGGAACTGAATCCTCAATGTTGCTGTAGAAGATTTTGCTTTTGGCGACACCCTTGTTTAACCAAAATGTACTTAACACAGCATCTAGAATTTAAAGGGGAGTGTTATGCAGCTAGCAAGTTAATAGATGTGGACAAATAATTCTGATTGTTAGTACAGTTCATCCTGTAAATTACAACCGAAATGCCTTTAAATATTGTTATTGGTAGACACCATTTATTTGTCACTTGGACACCCCATAAACCACAGTATAACATGAGCACTTGGAGCCCCAACATACAGATTAAATATAGGAATTCCAAGGAAATCATCCTGGATACTGTGATATAACATAGTCAAAATCTAAAATTCAGTAGTATTACTCTTTAATATTTCTCTTGCATTAAAGCAAAATCCATCGGACGCCTGGAGGATGAAGACAAATACATGCACGCGCCTCAGTTCTGTGGTTTGAATGTCGGACAATGAAATCCCTCTAGGCTGCTAAATAATTGGCTGTTTGGCATTTGTGTTTCTCATTTCTTTTGCTGGAACAGTAAATGGTCTGGTTACATAACCCGACATCTCAATTTAATCAGTGGACATGTAGCTTCCTTTTTTAAATCACTGTGCTTTGGTCAGTGAGGTCTGATGACGAATAGAAGACGACCGCTGATGCAGAGTAACATTCTCAGCCTCAAACGCAGGACATCTGTGAATAGAAAATATCTGAAGACTGAGAAAACTTGAGGAAGATCCTTTTAAAAAATGTTCACATCTCTGCAGTATGTTTGTATCTGATGGCGACCAAGTGATTATCCCTTTGTGGGCATATCTGCTGGAAGGGATCAAGTGCTTGGAGGATACATACATGACACATAATTTTGCAATACACGTTTATGTGAAAATGTTGGCTATATATACCAAACTATAGGTTGACATCATGATTTTGGGGATGGACCACACCCTCCATTCCAGTCTGGTTATGCCTAGTTACTGTTGATGACTTTTATGAAGGACATATAGATTTTTTCAGTTTAAGTTTTGCTCACCTCTGACCCCTGACCTATGCTCTTGTTCACTAATTGTCTCAGATATATCATAAACACAGTCCTCACTTCACCGTGGAGTCCAACAGTGCAACTGAACTGGTGGCGACAGCAGCTGGGAATATTGAGAAACTTCTGGCTAACCGTTCTGAAGCCTTAAAGGTGAGTGTGACCTCCTAATACATAAATGATCTTGTGGCAGCACTGCTTCTTGAGCAGAGAAGGAATTTGGTTATTGCTTCTTCTTGTTATCAACTTGACCTTTTAAAAGCTGTTCATTTCTTTTTGAGTTTGAGTTTGAGATAGGAACATAAAATGCAAATTATGTTGCGAATGATTCTGTTTGTGAGATCAGGTCCAGCATCTCTCCAAGCACAGTGCCGAGAGGAAACACACAGAAACAGTCTGCTTCTCCTCATTTCACATCAGAACAGACACTGGAACGCAGCCACTGCTTCAGGCCATCTACTGATCCAATATAAGCAGACATCCTCCAGCTAGATGACTTAATTCAAAGTTACCAGTCTGGGTTGCTACATGCCAAAATGCTAAGATTTCATTGTGTGTGTATGTGTTGTATCATCTTGCTTTTCTGAAAATGTATTTTTTTACCGATGACCCTGTTTAGTGTCAACTTTCAGGAATCCTTCGTCTTTCCTGTGACCGCTGAGGGCGAGTCTGCCCTCATAGCTTATCCATACAGGCTGCTTTTCATAGGTCTTTTGTCAGAACAGAAATGCTTTCATTTTGTAGTAAAGTGTTTCTGACGGTGTTTTGACATTCAGGGTGCCCAGAGGATGAATCCTAGTGACTTTATTGTGAGCATGTAAGCATGCTGATGTTAGCAGCCTATGTGAGCAAGCTGCTAATGTGGCTCTTAGTCTTGTTTTGCATGTAGTTACAAAGGACAGCAAGCTAAATTGATCCATCCAACCTTTCACTGCTCCTTAGTTTAAACACAACAGTATCTGGCCAACTGAATTAGGATCTCCGGGCTCTCCCAGGCTCCATCAATCTGGCTCTGAGAGCCAGAAATATCCAATTAAAGTCAGACAGCATGTTACCATAGTTACGTTGTCATTGATTACCCCATCAATCCAGCCAAGCATTTTGTTTTTCTTACATTCCAATAATTGCCCGGGGATGAGGGACAATTAGTTTTTGGTGTTGCTGTGTCGCACCTTGGGAGAGAGATACGACTGCTCAGTGAATTGATGGCAGCGGAATAGAGATGTTAAACTACCAGCTCCGTTCTTCCATTTTATCAACACCATCTGCTGTGTATTTCACCTGCTCAAGTTAACAACAGTTGTTTAGCTCTTTGCTGGAAGTGTGAAAACAGCGAGGGAGCCAGGGATGTTATACATTCTTATGTTATATATTTATAGCTAAACGCCATATGCTGATGTTCTTTATTCCTCTAAAAAAGTATGTTTACTTGTCACTGCATTAGCATTGAAGAGGACATTGCCCCTGGTGGCATGGTAGCTGCTGTAAATGGTGTTCTGTATAATGAAGTGCAGTTGAGCCAGCTTTATGGCGATCAATTTATGTAAGGGACCATAAATAGTTGCTGTGTCCACTTAGCTGAATCATGAATTGAAAGGGGAGTAGGGAAAGGACGACTGCCGCATTTGTAATGTTCTTGATCTGACCTACACTAATCTCATATTTCTCTGCGCTAGTTTCAATCTATGCGGTTAAGAATCCATCTCTTTGACTTACCACCTCCAGCATCCTCATTATTTTATTTCTCATCATCATCTCTTTCTTTCGTCCCTCCTTCTTTTCTCTGTCCATCCTTGTTCCATTTGGAAGGACTGATTTCACACAGCATGATGTGATCATGTAAGAGAGCGATTTGTGTGAGAGGTTATAGCTTTCTATCTAGGAGGAAGAGAGAAATTGAATGGCCTGATGTGTATGAGAGAGAAATGATGATGAGTAGAGGGAGAGTGGTAAGAAGTCTGTGAGTGCACTACGCCACACCTCCCATGAGGCAGCGTTCAAAAGACTAGAAGCCTATTACAGACCTCCCATCCATTAGGATCTTTGCCTCTTAATACACAATTCAACAGGCAGCACTCTCCTCATGTTCACACAGCACTGCTATGTGCTGTGGTACATAAACAAACTTTTCACCTCCAGATACTGTGACAAAAAAAAAAGTTATATTGTGATTTTAGGCATTTTTGTTAAACCCATTTTCATTGAAACTGCCCCCTCTAGTGTAGATATGTAATATTAGTAATGAGAAAGAAACTTAATCTTTCTTTAAGCTTTTCTTAAAATGTTGCTTTTTTCTTGTGAAGTAGTCTATAACACTTAAGCGATCATTTTATAAAGGTTGGGAAGCACAAGCCTCTACCATATAGCTAGCATTACCAATATGGTAAAAAAAAAAAAAAAAAAGCCAGACGAGTTAATATTGAGTCTGGGAGCATCATGGTTACTTGTAGCAACACTGGTAGTATATCGGATGAAATCCTTGTTTAAATCAAGCTTGGTAATCCACAAGTCATCATAAAGTTATACTTTAACCCTCAGGTTAACCATGTCCACTTTTCGTATATCATAGTAATGTGAGACCTGCAAAGCCTGGTGAGGAGCAGGGCCACGGACCTGTGGTCATATTATCATATTTTATTCACGCCTTAAAGCACAAAGTAGTTTTTTCCAGTGTTGATGCTTTGGCTGTCCTGCATTTTCCTGACCACACTCTAGCCATTCCATACTGTACATAGTGACACTAATTTCTCCAGTCATACCTATTCTTAACCAAAATGCAATCACTTTGCATTATAAACTACAGAAGCTGCCTTTCTTCTCTTTCTCTTTTCCTTTGGATCTTCATCATGATGTCACATTATATGTATGTCTACAGAAAACATAAAATCACACCACCACAAAACAAAACAATCCATTACGTTCATTTAGCTCATGCTTTTATCCAAAGTGACTTACAAAAAGTGCATTCAGCCATGTTGATGCAACCCACAAATTGCAAGAATCACGCAACTACATCCGACTTCATCAAATATGCTGAATTGCTACATTTAGAACAATAAGAGAAAAAGACAGAGAAAAAGTTTGAATTTGACATTTTGGATGAATACTGTAAGACATTGTGCCAGAATGCTTAAAACCTGCTGAAATCATCTGTATTTCCACCCCTTGCAGCTGTACAGTTCAGGCTGTGTTGTGCTTGAAATAAGCTGGATAGACACCGCCTCTCTGACTGGTGGCATTTCTCTTTACACTAGGGCAGCTTGTCTCCTCTGGCTATGCTTTGCAAGTGTTTATTTGTTTGTGAGCGTGTGCATTTGGGTGTGTGTGTGTGTTTGCCAGCAATTGTGACGGAACACAATCCCATTAGAATGATGGCTGCTGTCATTAACTTAATCAGGGGCCCGCTTGGATTTGCTGTCTGTCAAGCTGACATCTGCCCATCCTGTCACCTCAATTCAGTTGCTGCGTTTGACGGCGGTGCTCCCTTGACATGCAATCTCTCAAATGTTGGCAGCTGTGGCTACTTATTGGGAGACAGATTTTTCATCACAGCAAAAACTTTATGGCGCAGATCATGTTTATTATTATACTCAGTGGGTCTAATTCTGTCTTGGGTTGTGTACAAGACAAGATTCAAACTTCCTAAGACTGTGTTCCAGATGTTTAATGCAAGGATTTATCAATGGCAACTGTAACTGTAGAAAAAGTACACACTAGTGTCACTGCAGCTCCCCTGCCACATGCTTTCCATATTTAGCAGATTTATCCATCAAAATGAATAAAATATAGTTCCAAAACATAGATCAGTACATTTCCTTAACACATGTTTAAATTATCATCAGGTCACATATACAGTGAACGCAAAGAAAGTAATCAGAAAGAGGAAAATGCTTACTTCCTGTGCAAAGTCAGGAGCCAAAACAGGAAGTAAAGCTACAGTAGTGTACAGGCAATGTGTATAATTTGCAAAATGAGACAATTACTTTTTTTTTTTTTACTTAAAAGACAATAAGAAGATGAAAATATAACTTTATATACCTCAAAACCTTATGTTAATATTTAAAGTTACACTGTGAGTTTCAACCTCTGCCCTTCAATGATAATCTAGTGCAGTGGTTCCCAACCTTTTTGTTTTGACATACCCCCTTGCAGTAGGAGTAGCCAGTAACTAAAATTGCTTTTTTGTTCTTCATAATAAGTATGATGTGAGATGCAGTTTCATAGAAAGTTCTTAAAAGATCTGCTGTCTTCCTTCATTTTTCAGTTTTCAGCAGCATGAATAGGCAGCAGATGTATAGCTTTCTCTCTCTCTCTTTTATTCAGTGTTTGGAACATCACTCTTCATCCGTCTGTCTCAACCATTTCAAGTTAATGTTCCCAAAGTGTTAGTGATCTGACTGGGGAAATAATTTTGTTTCCAAACCACTCATGGGCGATCAAAGAATTTGCCTCTTTCATGTTGCACCGCAATATTGTGCATTCAGTACGTGTTCTCCTTAAAGTGAAACTAGAATTCCCAAAAGGAAAGAAACCACCACAGTGCTGAGATAACTGCAAAACTTTTTTACCTCAGACGAAACCTCTGACAGTCTTGTTGTCATGTACTGCAGCTGATTAGTTTTTTAGAGGGACATATAGATGTCTGTGTGTGCGTGTGTCCGTGCATTTGTGTGTGCATGTGTGTGTGTGCGTGTCCCAGACTGAGAGCTGTCTCACAGATCTTGTTGATACTTCAGAAGATGAGTCAGATTCTTTAGGAAGCTGCTAGCATAGTTACACTACTGATACAACTCTGGACCTTACAGTCACTGAACCTTTACAGACGCACAGGCTACACGAACATGAGACCTGTATACTCACGCACACTGGCGCAATCACCTCTTCTACCTTTTGAACCTTTCTTAGCCTTTGTTCACAACCGTGTACTCTCCCTCCTTCTTGTTCTTCATTCTTGTCACATATGGTATTCTATTTCTACTGTTCTTCGTCTTTTTTCTTTCGTTCCTCCCTCCAACCCTGTCCTTCCACCCTCATTGCCTATAACTCCCTCGTTACTTCCTTTCCTATAACTCCCCCCCCGATTATCTGTCACTCTTCATTCCCATTTTTCTGTTTTTGCCTTGCCCTGTTTTCCTCCTTTCTCCCTTTCTGTC